CCCCCCCCCGCATATCCCGAAAGTCTTCAGTCTCTTCGTAAACGTGTTCCCCTGACAACATAATGTATCAAGCTTACTGCTGTAGAATATGCGAGGAAAACTATATGCACATACGAGGGGAAAAGGGGATAAGATCGGTGAAGATATACTATTAGACTCCGCCGTGCCCGACATAAGTAGACAGGACAGAATCTCTTGCCGAAAGCCGGTCTACAGCAGTAGCACTGGAATTGCGTCATAATCGTTGCCAGAGTAACACCTCTCGAGGCGTCCTTCACCTACAAGAATGATCACATGCCCTCTGCCACGCTTGTGTCGCTACGTACTAACATGGATTTGACGCAATATCTTAAGTCTAACTTTTTTTCGACCCGCTGCTATTCTATCGTGTGTGCTCGTTTTCATGAACCTGTTGAGGCAGTATCACCATCCATGCTAACTTCTTCCAGCTGTGCTTGGTCATGCTGTTGCCCTCTTGCCTCGATCGCCGGCCTGCAGTCCACCGTACACCACAACCTGCCCTACCCGGAAGTGTTCGAGCACGAGACGAAGAACAAGGAGGGGGAGACGACCGCCAACGGCACGTTCTGCGTGTCCACCGGCCAGTTCACTGGACGGTCTCCCAAGGACAAGTACTTCGTTCAGCAGGTGTGTGCACCGAACACCGTTCTCCCGGAAGGGATTTTATACTATTGTGGGACCAGAAATACGCACAACCCGGGCTCGATCTTCGATGCATGTCTGCGGCAAGCTATGGGTTTGCAAGGTGCAAGCATTCGTCGATATCTATCTGAGGATGTATCTCACATGAACTTGTCATTGACAACGGAAACGAGATGTTCCTTGAAGCCCCCTGTCAGCAAGATGGTGCCAATTCATTAACGGCCGCCGTCGTTTCGCACAAAACTTCGGTGTAGGCCCCTTCGGACAAGACCCTCGACTGGGGAAAGATCAATGTGGGCGTGGCCCCCAAGGTGTTCGAGAATATTTACAAGAAGGCCGTCAAGCACTACAATGACAACGTCGACAGCATGTGAGACGCACCGAGGGCGGTCCCGACACGGTGCTTGTAACAAGCAGCTGCACCTTCGATACCAAACAGGGATGGGAACTATCATACACGCTTTCGCTGGGTTTTCACAGAGTTTTTTCAATGGAATACTGGTGTCGAGGTCGCCATGTTGACAGCACCAGTGAAACGGGTTCCTGCCCACGGGGCTGTTTCACTCAACACAGCCACGATTCAGGGCCATATGCACAACTGCTTCCAAGGAGTGGTGGGTGGGTAGGGGCGTGCTCGTGGTGTGCGTGCCATTGTTGTTGGACCATTGACCATGCGTCCTCGAGAGGACGGAGCATGGGGTGGGGGAAGGGGGGGTGTTCAACACATTCTCCGAACATGGACGCTAAAAACCGGACACAAACGCTAACCAAACGATCTAGGTACGTGTTCGACGGGTACTGCGGCACAAGCCCCAAGTCGCGCAAGAACGTACGCATCATCACGGAGCTGGCGTGGCAGCACCACTTCGCCAAGAACATGTTCATCCGCCCGGAAACGGAGGAGGAGACGGCGGGGTTCAAGCCCGACTTCACCATCATCAACGCGTGCAAGGTGGTCAACGACGACTACAAGGTATGCACGCACTTTCCGGGGGAAGAGGACGAGAAAGCCGTCGAAAAAAACGAAAAAATCTGTTCGGCAAACAGCAGCAGACAGGAAGCGGCTGTGGGTGCGTGTCGTATCGGGTTGCAGCAGGGGGTGGCAGAGGGAGCTCTCACGCCTCACCCTGTTCGCGCACCAAACCCTTAACTGGGAACACCGTTGGCCCTTGGGATTTAGATCCGTTACATTGAATCTGGAAGTTGTCCCCAAGAGGACCACTCGAGTGGTTTTCGCCCGGAAAAAAGACTAGAGTACACGCGAAACGCAACAAACCACTAGGCAATGCTTGATGGGTGTGTGTTCACAAATGAGGGGCGTGTGCAACGACAAAAACGTCGCTCACCGCCGTTCTGATTCACTGCCAACTTCCAATGCTGTCAATGCTGTTGTTCTCTACGCTTTTCGTTTGCGTTCACACAAGGGTTTTGTTCGCGTGCATCGTGCCGTACTCCTCGCGTCTCCGCAGGTCGTGCTGAACGTTGGCCCGCTTCACCGCACGTTACAGTGCTAGGATGAACGCGCAGCGATAGAATCACCCAACACCAACCCCCAAGGACGCTCGATAGACTCTGGGGCATAGACCATAGGTTTTGGGTTCATTTCCGCTACCTTTCGCCCGCTTTTGCCCCTTGCGCTTGCACGCGCTGCCCTTTTCCCAACCTTGCGATGACCGCCTTTCGCCGCTCGCGAACCTTGCGAAAACAGGAGCTTGGGCTTAACTCAGAGGTGGCCGTGGTGTTCAATGTCGAGGAGAGGAAGGCGGTAATCACTGGCACATGGTGAGCGCACGACGTTTTCCTTATACTTCATTCCGACAGCAGTTTTGTCCGCCGAGGGATTGGTTTATTTTCTGTGATCTCGGATCGATTGGAGCTGTTGAGCTACAGCGGTGAGGCCGGTAGACCCTGCGAGTTGCGGACCATAAAAAGCACAACAACGAAAGGAAAAAAAAGGATAGGATCGTTCGAGCCGGAGCTAGCTGTTCCTTTTGCTAGAGAGGAATTTAACGATTGTGTCCTTCCTTGCTTGTTCAAGGTCTCTTTTATGGTTTCGTTTTAGCCTGCAAGACAACTACAATTTGTTCCTCGGGAAGATAAAATTTCTGGTAGCCAGTGGCCGAGTGGAAGGATTCGCCACGATTCAGAGAGACCTTGTCGATGTGTACTACACCCGAGCTGTGATAGCAAGACTGATGACCCTATATATCACTGCTGTAGAGGCAATGCCGCCCTTCCTGAAGGCGCGCTGAGAACAAGCGGTTTGCCTGTCTGTTAGTGTGCCTTGGCAGATTGCACGATCTCCCTTTGCCCGGGAGGGACGTGAGAAGTGCATTGCCATACATAGTCGCCGATAAGCTTGCAATACATGAGCGAACAGACGTGGCCATAGTGGTCGCGGCATACCGCTACAGGTCAGCGCAACAGGTATTCAGGAGTAGCGTGTTCCTTTATCTTAAAGCTACAAACGCCGATGTATATGGATCACGAGGGAGGAGGCACTGAGAATCTCTCTGGCACTTCGAAACTGAAGGCGTGAACCACAGATGTGAATTATTATCGGTAGCCCTGCGCCAAAGATGAAACGGAGTGCCACCACCGCCGCCATGGCTGCAACCAAACGCCCAATCTACATGATCCACGGACACCCATCGGCGTAACAACACTCAGGTACGGGGGGGAGATGAAGAAGGGTATCTTCTCCATGATGAATTACTGGCTGCCCCTCGACGGCGTGATGGCGATGCACTGCTCGGCGAACAAGGGCAAGAACGGCGACACGGCTCTGTTCTTCGGGCTCTCGGGCACCGGCAAGACCACCCTCTCCGCCGACCCGGAGC